GACATCTGTTCCGGCAGAAAGGTAATCGGAGACATATACACATATAAAGTAATATATATTCAGTGTTGTTGTTAGGTGCCACCGAGTTGAGAATGATTCACAGTGGTGCTATGAACAGCAGATCTGCACCCTGCCCTATCCTGTGCCATCCTCAAACCTCCTGACACATTAGAGCCCACTGCGGCAGTGACTGTGTCTCTGCATGATTGAGGGTCTTCCTCTCCTTTGCCAACCCTCCACCCTTCCCAGCATCATGTTCCTCTCCAAAGAATAGCCCCTCCTAACAACATGCCCAAAGTATGTGAGGCAAAGCCTCATCACCCTTGCCTCCAAAGAGCACTCCAGCTGCACCCTCTCCAAGACCTATTTATTTGTTTTTCTGGAAGTCCATGGGATGTTTAGTGCTCTTCTCCAACATATATATATTATAAACGTATGTTGTTGTTTGCCTTCGAGTTGAGCATGACTCAGAGTGACTCTATGAACAAAAGGCCTGAAATACCCTGAAGTACTTAACTCTTACCCGAGGAGCCCTAGTAGTGTCGTGTGTAGCATATGGTCCTGCCACGCTCAAACGCACCAGTCACTCCTCAGGAGAAAGATGGGCAGCCTCCTCCCATAAAGATTCACAGCCTTGGAAGCCCAGTGGGCTGGAATGCACTTGGTGGAAGTTGTTATTGTTTAAGCGTAGTCAAATTGCTTGCGACTCATAGTGACTCTATGTACGGCAGCTCTGAACCCTGCTCTATTCTGAGCTAACCTCACTGTCTCTGACACACTGGATTTGCTCTTTTGTTCTGTTTATGGTACTTTTACCTTGCTTTGTCTAAAGTCTTCTGTTCTTCAATCTTCTGCTCAGCATCCTTCTCTGCTCGTTTGGAAACTCCTGCATTCTGTTTGTTCCAGATACTTGGTTTCTATTAAGAGAAAAATTTAAAAAGACAAGCAGAATGACCACACTATTACATAAGATTTCTAAATGTCCATCAGATAGAAAAACAGAATAATTAAGTATCATTATATTTGTGACTCAATGGAGACAGTGAGACCTTATGACAGCTAACCTATGTCCTACAAATTGGAATGTGCTAGACCTGAGGGAAATATCAAAAGGCTGTAAAGTGTATAGAGTTTCTTTACATGACTGTACACAGGGACAGCTCTACTGGGTTTTTTTCTCCTGAACCACTATAACTTAATTCAAGGCTCTAATGAAGCTATAGGATGTCAGAAATTACTAACACAGATAGCAGATACTTTTACCACTAAAATTGGAAAACAATTCATAATTCTCAAAAATCGCAACACTTCTGCTATAGTCCCATCTTCTTGTTTATCATTGTTTGGACTGATAACATCTCTATAATATTCTGTAAGAATTTAAAGAACCTATTTATTAATAGCATAGACTTTACTAAAAGAAAGGAGCTCTGACGGCTAAGTTCGTAGGGAGCTGAATTGCTAACATAAAGGTCACACACATTTCTGTGGTGGTTTGGATCCACCAGGAAAAAGATGGGCAATCTCCTCCTATGCGCTTTACAGCTTTGAGAACCTGATGGAGGGCAGCTAGGAGTCAGTTAGGGCTGGACAGCAACGAGTATGAGTTCCTAAAAGAAGCACTCTTTGAATACATTTCACATTTTTGATGGCACAGATATAAAAAATACAACACAGGTTTTCTGCCCTCTTAATATTTACATGGCGTGGACACCAATGACACTTTCAGAAAACCTAAAACATGTCAGAATGCCTCTCTATTTGGAATCAATGGAGAAAAATTATCTTATTTTTACCTTATTGGTTGTTTTTGGTTTTCCTGAAACTTCAGAATCTTTCAGAAGTTTCTCTTGTTTGAATTCTTCTTGTTTTCGAAAGAGTTCAGCCTTAAGATCCACCAACTAGAATAAAATCAATAAGCAAACATAAACATTAAATTCATTCTAATAGTTGACTGGATTTCTAAGGCATTATAATTCTCAAAGCAAGATGTAAATTTCTCTAAGTGGACAAAAAGGGATACAAAATTAAGTGTTCTAAATGGGCAATTCAGTACAAAAGAAAACTACTTGTTTTTCCATTCTGACTCTGTTGCAAATTAATTCACACTCTATTTTCAATATTCAAAGCTGTCCTCTGGGCAAGGGGACTATGACAAAGTGAAGAAAAGAAACGAAATCTGTATATTCTAGATTCAGACTTGATCAATTATATTAAGCATATTCTGACTGGCACCACATAAGGTTATCTCACTTAAAACATCACAACAATTTAACATTTATAAGTGAAATGTCTCTGCTTGTCAATTATCTAAATACATACTATGTTATGGTATAAAACATTCAAGAAACAAATAGCAACATAAAAAAGTTATACTCCCTGGCTCAAGGAACCTATATAATCTATTAAAGTAATTTATAAAACCAGTAAAGTAAACTAGAAACTATAAATGACTTTTAGAAGAAAGTAGCATTAAAAACTTGAAGGAGCATTCCCTTATGTCCAGAATGTCAAGAGAAAGGCTTTGATTTAAGCTTTTAAAATTTTAACTAAGTATGTTTTAGATATGTTAGAAAAAATAAGTTAAGCAAGATCACAGAGTTCAAAACAAGGGAAAGAAAGCCAAGAATAAGAGCATGAAGCAGCTGTACCAGGCAACACTTGCTGCTTTGTTTGAAGGAAAGGAAAGGAAAGGAAAAAGGAAAGGAAAAAGGAAAAAGGAGAAAGGAAAGGAGAAAGGAAAGGAGAAAGGAAAGGAAAGGAAAGGAAAAGGAAAAGGAAAGGAAAGGAAAAGGAAAGGAAAGGAAATGCTAGGGGATCACTTTAAAAGGGCCAGCAGAGTTGCTAATAAGCTTGGGCACTACTAACTGCTATTTATAGACATCAAAATTTCCAAGTTTAATGACTTCTACTTTTGGTAGAGGTAAGTTTAAAAGTAACTTTGTCAGGGATTTTAAAAACACAAAGGGTACTTTCATTTCAGGATCTGACGTTTTGAAACATGAAACCTTAAAGTCCTAATGGATCATGAGAGCTACAGCCTCCACTACCCAGTTGTTGCTCTTTTTTAGGTGCAGGTGAGTAAACTATGACACTCACTGTGTGCCTACGAGTATGTCTGAACCTTGCTCTATCCTGCACCATCCTCACCATCTGTCATGCTCGAGTCCACTAGGGCTGGCAATGTGTCAAAAAATCTCCTTGAGGGAGCTCTGGTGGCCTAGTGGCAAGAAATTATGTTGCAATCTTAAAGGCATGGGGTTCAAGTCCACCAGATGCTCTGCTGGAGAAGGAGGGGCAATCTCCTTCTGTGCCAGTTGGATTTGATTTGACAGTTCACAACAACAACAAAATAGAATAAAAAAACAAATAAACAAAACCCCCTGCAACATCTCCTTAAGGGTCTCCCTCTACCCTACCTAACCATCTACCTATCTTTCCCAGAGTGATGTTTTCTCCAAGGACTGGTTCCTCCTGAAAATATTCCCAGAGGTAAGTGAGAAAAGTTTCACCATCTTTGCCTCTAAGGAGCACTCTGGTTGCACTCCATTTAGGAGTTTGTTTGCTCTTTTGACAGTCCATTCGATATTCAAAACTCTTCTTCAGCATCAGAATTCAAAGGAATAGATTCTCCTTCTGTCATCTCTATTCACTGTCCAACTTTCAGATACATAGGAAGTAAATCAAAACACCGTGGCTTGCACCAAGCACACTTTTTAGTCTCTAAGCAGACATCATTGGTTTTTAGAACTTTGTAGAGGTCCATGACAGCAGATATACTCAATGCAACTCAGCTTTTGATTTCTTGACTACTGCTATCGTGGGTGTTAATTGTGGATACAAGTAAAATGATTTTGACAACTTCAAACTTTACTCAATTCTCCACATTTTTCTATTCTACAACAACTTTGGCATTTTTTTAAAATAGCAAAATTCTTGGAAAGTTAACAATACCCAGATGGTATTCGTATTATAATTATTACTAATTTTAATCTAGTAAGTGGTCTAGTGGGTAGGGAGTTGCACTGTCACTTCAAAGGTAAGTGGTTCAAATCCACCAGCTTCTCTGCAGAAGAAAAACGGGCAATCTCTTCTTGGGCAATATATAGCTTCCGAAAGCCCTCTGGTGGGTCAGTTCTAACCTATGACACATAGTAACAAAAGGTTAACATGACTACTATTAAAGTTACTACTTAGAATTTTTCCTATTTCTTAATCTTCAAGTTGAAATTCTAGGATTTTCAGTAGTCTAATTACTTGCCATGCATTTGAAAACTGGACAATAAATAAGGATGACAGAAGAATCAATGATTCTGCATTGATGCTGGAGAAAAGTTCTGAATATTCCATGAATTGCCAGAAGAACAAACAAATATGACTTGGAGAAGCACAACTAACATGCTCCTTAGAGGCAGGAATGATGACACTTTGTCTCACAAACTTTGGACATATTGCTAGAAGGGGTCAGACCTTGGAAAAAGACACAAGGCTTGGAAAGGTGGAGGGTCTGAGAAAGAAGTGGAAGACCCTCAACAAGATCAACTGACACAGTGACTGTAAAAATGGGTCCAAATATATCAAGATATGATGAGGATGGCATAACACAGGGTAGGGTAAAGATCTGCCTGCTGTTCATAAAGTCACTATGTGTTATAGTTGATTGAATGGCACATAATAATAACAACAACAAAAGTACAATCCTAGGATAATGCCAGAAAGTCAAGCTGGAATCAGAAGAGGGCGTGCAACAAGGTATACTACTACTGATAGCAGATAAATGGGGTTGAAAGCAGGTAATACCAAAAAAGATGTGGTGGTGTTGTTATGTTCCCTTGAGTTGCTTGTGACTCATAGTGACTCTATTGTGCATACCTTTTGTACACAGCTCTGAACTCTGCTCTATACCAAGCCAACCTTTCTGTCTCTGACACATGTATCTCTATTACCCCAATACTGATTCAATCTGTCTCATTGAAGGTCTTCTTCTCTTGTGCTATCTTTCCACCCTCCCAAGTATGATGACCCTCTCCAAGGACTCGTCCCTCCTTGCAACATGCCCAAAGTATGTCAGACAAAACTTCAGAATCTTTGCCTCCAAGGAGGAGCCTGGTTTCACTGTCTCCAGTATTTACTTATTTGTTTTCCTAGCAATCCATGATATATCCGATATTCTTCTCCAGTACCACAACTCGTAAACATCAATTTTCTATCATCCCTAGTCATCGTCCAGCTTTCTGATGCATAACATGTAACTGCGAAGACCATGGCCTGAATCAGGTGCACCCTGGTCTCCAGACTGACATCATTGCTCATCAGTACTCTGGAGAGGTCCCTGATGGCAGATTTTCCCAATGCAATTTGTCTACTGATTTCCTGGCTGCTGGTACCAAGAGTGTTGATTGTGCAGCCAAGCAAACTGAAGCTGTGTGTGTACTGATGTTTTATTAACTATGCAAAGGCATTTGAGTGAATCATAATTCATAATAAATAGCATTGCAAAGAATAGAAATTCCAACACACACACTTGTGCTCATGCAGAATCTGTACATGGAAGAAGCAACTGTACAGACACAACTAGGGGAGTCCATATAATTTAAAACCAGGAAAGGAGTGAGTTGGGATTGAATCTTCTCACCGTAAGTACTCAATCTATATGCTAAGCAAATAATTGGAGAAATGAGACTATAAGGCAGCAGAATTAGAGAAACAAATTGCAATATTCAGGTGACACTACTGAAAACAAGGAAGATTTGAAGTACTTACTGAAGCTTAAAAGAATCTACACACACACACAGTCTACACAGAGCCTTCAGTATGGATTACACCTCAACATAAAACACAAATTCTCACCAACAGTCCAATAAAAAACATTACGCTAAATGGAGAAAAAAAACCTGAAGTCGTCAAGATAGTCATTTCACTTGGATTCGTAATCAATGCCCATGGAAGCAGCAGTCAGCAAAATCAAACACAGTATTTAGCGAATAAGTCAATGACAAAGTTAAAAAATATCTTAGGAGCCCACTATTACAGAAAGCCAAAGACCAGGTTGGGGCGTGGACCATATACACAGCCAACTTCAAAAACAAAAAGTCCAGGCTTACTGTGGCAACAGAAACTGGTTCTACGCCAGAGTTTATGGCTCGTACTTAGTTACTTTTCAAACCTAAAACAAAACTTACCCCACTGCTCAGTTTACAAACTGACAATATAATGCCAGGAGGCACTCAAATTTTAGAATAATCAAACATATAAGGTGAAAAGAGCGCCTTTGCTAATGTTAAAGCCCCAAAGACAGGAAGGAGGAAACAGACCTCCCTGACCAAAGGAAATAAAACACCAAGCTGAATTTCATATCCGAGGAGAGAAACCTGGCCCAAGCCAGCAAGTCAAGTTCAGGACTTGGTAAGAAAGTTGCCCTGTGAAGCCAAGTCCAGGCCCCCGCTTGAGCAGAGAGGACATGTCAGGGTACCCGCGCGAAGAAACAGGTCGGGTCAACATTATGTCTGGCGGCGGCGGGGAGAACCCAAAGATCACACTTACAGAGGAAGCTGCCACATCCAAAGGCTTTTTCCTCCGGTCCATAGTTGCTCTGCAGCTTCTTATTAAACAAACGAAGACTCCAAGAACACTTCCTAAATCCTCAAATGACAGTCCCTAGAGCAACCGGAAGCACCTACTTTGCGTCAGCGAGCGGCGCGCGTTTACGACACGGGAGCGGGGCCAACTTGTAGAGGTCACGTGGGAGTTCTGGCTGGTGATCCGGCGCCATATTGAGAAGGTCGAAAACAGCAATTCTAAAAGAGGGAAAAGGGAATGAGCGGCCGCGCTAGCGCCATCTTGAGAAGGTCAGTTTGGATTTCTGAGCGGCGGGCGCCACCTTGAACGAGGCCCATCGTATGGGGCAGGCGGTGGCGCCCTCTTCGGACGTGGAGAGTGAACTATGGCGACTTGGTAGTGTGAAAGTGATTCAGAACTGCTGGTGAATAAGTTTACCGCTGTAATTCCGAATGTTTGCGGTTCGAATCCACCAGTTGCTCCACTGGAGAAAAATGGGCAGTCTTGTTGTGCCCCAAATCCAGTTCCCCCCAAGTCACCAAGGAGCCGACACCGATGCAAGGGCAAAAGGGAATTTATTTCAGATTCGAATCCGGGCCGCGCTCCAAATCGTGCCAATACAGCAGGGAAAACGGCCCCGATTCTGGGCTGTCCCGCCTATTTAAAGGTGAAAGCCCGGGAAACAGGGCTATACAGGATTGGCTGATGTTTGGGTGGGGGCTCTTTTCCCCCTTCCCCCTCCGCTTTCAGTTTACTGCTCTAGAGGCTTATACATTTTATTTATTTTTTTTTTTGCAATTATCAAACAATAGCTCTATTATCACATGGAGGTAAAATTCTGCTGAATATTATAAGAAAAAACAACTAGAACAGTACATTGACAGAGAATTACCTGAAATACAAGTTAACTTTTTTTTTTTTTAATTTAGGTTGTTTATTTTTCATTTCAATGAACATCTACA